AAAGCGTGAATCGCTCGAGTTCAAAAATCTGAACTTTTTGGAGAGGGGTTCATTCTGCAATTCAGGAGATAATTGGAAAACGTTTTATTTTCTCCCGCTCACTTTTTTAGTTGAATGGCATTCCTGAAGACCTTTTTTGACTCAGAGCTCAAACCTCTGTTGACAAGTCTTACAATTCTGGCTAAGAAATGTATATTATTAACGTCGTAAAAATTCTTTGGAAAAATTAACTCATGACCTCAACCACAAACAGGACAAATTCAGGAGCCTTATGAACTTCTCCATTCAAAAAAAATTGTATTTTAAAAGAGTTACTTCTTCTGTTTTGTTTTGACTATTTTATTTATTTTTTATTTATTATTATTTTTCTATTTTAAACTCACATTTGTAAATGTTTAATAAATTCGCAGCGCTCAGGTATGGTTTGTTTGTTTGTCTGATTGTCTTTTTTTGTTTGTACTATTTGAAAATCTTTAATCAAAAAATAAATTGGGCTCGGTTCAGTCAGAAGCAGCTGAAAGCCTCCATCATGCAGGTTCAGTTTCAGTTTCTATCAACGCTGTTTTTCAGCCTTCATAAAGCACATGAACACTGTTATTTTCTTAATAAAATCTATTGTAGTCACTTAGCAATGAAGCTGGAGTCACCGGGCAGACAGAAGCCCTGCCCATTACACAAATCTGCGTCTGTTCTGAAGTGAATTTGACGCGCGAATGAAGCAAGTAAACTCAAATGTTCACGTGGCTATTTACGTATACGATATTACGAATATCGCTATTTATCCCTGCGTTCCGCATCTGGTGTGAACACAGCATTAGGGCTTCTCTCACCATAATACACCTAAAACACGGATTGCCATAAAACTCGTCAATGTTGTTTTCTCTTATCAGCGGCAGAGAAAGAGTTAATCGAAATCATTTAATAATTTGATGCAAAACATAATACCAGCCATCCATGTAAACAGGGGCGGACTGGCCATCTGGCAATTCTGGCAAATGCCAGAAGGGCCGGACCAATTTTTAAATGTGGGCCGGTCAGTTTTTTTTTAATATGTATTGTTTTTAAGTGCAGACAGCTTTTATCTCTTGCTAGATGTGATATTATGATGATGATAAAAATAATAATAATAAATGTTAAGCATTTGGCGCAATCGGCAACTGCCGCCTGGTTTCAAGATCGGCCAACCCAATCCAAGGTTACTCGGACTTAATCTAAATCTGCCAAAAACGTCATATTATTTATCTTTACACCAAAATAAATAGTGAATGTGCGTGTCCGTGGGTGGGGCTGTGTCGGTGTGGTAATGTGGGCTGGTGTGGCAACAGTGCCAGGGCTAAATTTTTGTCCCAGTCCGTCCCTGCATGTAAAGCAAATATAATGTCCTTCAATTCGGTCACGTCCAGCGGTCATCATCCTCAAACCAATCTCTTTCCTTGTAAGCTGCTTACGTGAACTAATAACATTGACCTTAAAAGAGTTTGTAAAATTTTTTTTTACTGTTTTTATTCTAGCCGAAATAAAACAAACAAGACTTTCTCCAGAATAAAAAAATATAGGAAATACTGTGAAAAATTCCTGAATCTGTTCTACGTCATTTGGGAAATATTTGAAAAAGAAAAACAAGTTAATAATACTGCCTTCAACTGTATATCAATACCTGATGAATAATCCTGCTTGATCTCGCTGTTGTTTTGTCTGTGATGCTGTTGGGAGAGGTACATGGCGCCTTCACTATAGGCTTTCTGCTGTCTTGATTTATTACAGCTTTTGTCTGCACGCTAATTAATGAATACAGTTCATATTTGCATACATTAGCAGTCTCGGAATTATTCATTAGCTCACAGTAATTAGTTTTCTGCTGGTCTTTGCTGTGCGCAGTGGTACATTAAAATTGGCATGATATTAGTTCGGACTAAAGAAGGTGTCACATGACAGGATATGACAGTCAATGCAGCTCGCTTTCCATCTGCTAATTACAATTATGGATCATAAATAAAATATGCCAGCATGCAGGAAATCTCAGACAATGGGAGGATTTGTAATGTGTGCTGAAATGTGAGGTAGTTTTTATTGTGTAAAATATGATTTTTATAATGTGGTTAAAGTAAAATGTTTGTTTTATATATTACAAAATATATATTTGCATGTTTTCATACATAATTTTTTTACACGTCCACACATATTAATTTATAATATATATAAATATATAAATGCGTGTCCATACATTTATTTCTGACATTGTAAGTTTGATATTATATTTCTATATTTATTATTGTAATAATTGATATCTTATTTGTTATTTTGTTATTATTTTGTTGATATGTAGATGGATGGATGGATAGATGGATGGATGGATGGATGGATGGATTGATAGATGGATGGATAAACGGACGGACAGAGACAGATAGATAGATAGATAGATAGATAGATAGATAGATAGATAGATAGATAGATAGATAGATAGATAGATAGATAGATAGATAGATAGATAGATAGATAGATAGATAGACAGATAGATACACAGATAGATACACAGATAGATACACAGATAGATACACAGATAGATAGACAGATGAATTTGTAGACAGGTGGATGGGTAGGCAGATGGATAGATCAATGGATGGATGGATAGATAAACGTATAATTAGATAGACAAATTTGTAGGTGGATGGATGGATGGATAGAGGATAGAAAGACAGACAGATAGATGGATAGACAGATAGATGGATCGATGGATGGATCAATAGATGGATGGATGGACGGACAGATAGATAGGTAGACAGGTAGATAGGTAGACAGATGGATAAATAGATGGATGGATAGATTGATAGATGGATGGATAGACAGATGAATCAATAGATGGATGGATTGATAGATGGATAGACAGAGATAGATAGTTTGACGGAGGGATGGATGGATGGATGGATGGATAGATAGACCGATGGATAGACCGATTGATAGGTAGATGGATGGATAGGTGAATGGATAGATATGCAGATGAATAGGTAGACAGACAGATAGACTGATAGATAGATAGACAGACAGACAGACAGACAGATAGATAGATAGATAGATAGATAGATAGATAGATAGATAGATAGATAGATAGATAGATAGATAGATAGATAGATAGATAGATAGATAGATAGATAGATAGATAGATAGATAGGTGGATAGGGGGATGAATGGATGGATGGATGAACGGACGGAGGGATGGATGGTTGGATGGATGGATGG